CCGCTCAGCGTGACGGCCAATCCCCCCGCACATCCACAACACTCAGCGTGACAGTCTGATCCCCCCGTGACAGTCCGATCCCCCCCGCACATCCACACCGCTCAGCGTGACAGTCTGATCCCCCCCATTCACACCACTCAGCGTGACAGTCTGATCCCCCCGCACATCCACACCACTCAGCGTGATGGCCTGATCCCCGCTATCCACACCGCTCAGTGTGACAGTCTGATCCCCCCGCACATCCACACCTTTCAGCTTGATAGCTGATCCCCCCCCATCCCCTGTTCAGAGTGACGGGTCGATGGAGTGCAGCCTTCAGGCACCTGCCGTCTGAGGGGACGGGGGAAGCCCGCAGGAGCTGCTCCCACCAGGCTTGCTGCCGCAGTCATAGGCGGCTTTTGGCTCCTTCGGGTGCCCATTGTGGGGCCAGGCTGTGCCCATGCTCGGGCGCTGTGAGGTGCCTTCTCTTCTTTTCCCTTAGACCCTCACGGGATTGAAGCCAAGAAGAGGAAGAAGAAGCCAGGTTACATGGACCATTTCCTCGTGCCCCAGGCAGCAGGTCAGTTGTCTTGTGTCAGGACGTGGATTGGCATGTCGCTGGCTGGTGCCCCTGTGCAGTGACCACCCCCCCCGTATGGTGTATTTGTCTGGGGGGGGGTGCAGTGTTCCCTTCCTACACATGGGAGGGGAGCAGGCAGGGGCCCAGGGGCACTATGACCCCCTCCACACTGGGCGGGGGGAAGGTGGGGGCATCCAGGGGTCACAGTGACCCCCTCCACATGGCAGGGCAGGTTGGGGCATCTGGAGTTGGCATAAGGACCTTCTCCACATGGGGGAAGATAGGTGGGAGCCTGAGGGGACACACTGATCCCCCACGTGGGGACCTGGGGGGCACAATGATTCCAACACATAGGGGGCAGTGGGGCTCTGGGGAGCCCCTTTTCATGGTGGCAACGATGTCAGGGCGTCAGCTCCCAACTCCCAGTGGAACCAATGTGAGCTGGGGTGTTCTGCCCCCCTGAGAATTAGCCCAAAGGCGTCCTGAGCTGGGCTCCCACTGCTGGAGCCCCCAAGGCATTGCCCTCTGCCTCCCCAGGCAGGCAGCACTGCAACCCTGCCGGCCAGGTCCATCCCCAGGAGCCCTCCAGTGATTGCACTCCCCTCGCTGGGGTAACTCCCCACTGTGACGGGATCCCTGGGGTGCAGCCTGGGACTGTGGGACCGCCGTGGCCTCTTATCTCTCCAGCCTGGGCTGTCTCTCACAATGCTTTGCTAGTGACAAGCAGCAAACCCCTCCAGGCGCTGTGATCACTCAGCACAACCGCATGTGGAGCCCCCACACCCAGCTAGATTGCATGAATGTTCCCAGAGCCACTCATGAATCACACAGAGAAAGGCACCAGAACCAAATCCCCCCCAGCTCCCAGCACTGTACCTCAGGAATATACTGTCTTGTACTGCTCAAGACGCTTTCTTGAGCAATGCAAGTGTGTTAATTGGTTCACCACTTCATCAATGGAAAGGGGATATACACCAGCCTTTGTAAGTCTGAGCAGATTTACCGAACACTTCAGGCAACCTCACTGGTAAATATAAACAGTAAAACAAGTTTATGACTACAAAAGAGAGATTTTAAGTGATTATAAGTGACAGGTAAAAAGTCAGTTAGTTACCAAAATAACATAAAATATATGCACACAGTCTACACTCTCAGCCCTATTAGCCTGCACAACAGCTACATTAAGCAGTTTTTGTCACCCCACTGGATATTGCAGTTCATAGTACACAGATTTCACCCTTGAAGCCTGGGCCAGTCTCCTCTGTTGAAGTCTTCAGTCTTCTGAGCGTCCTTGTTGCTTGCAGCATAGGTTGGGGGAGGAGAAAAGGCCCAGCATGGGGCCACCGTGTTCTGTTTTATACCCTTAGTCCATGTGCTTGGAGAACACAAGTCCAGGCATGTCTGATGGGCACTGCTGAGTCCCCAGGCAAGGTTGAGCAATTCTCCTGGTGTGGCCTTGTGTAAGTGAGTCATTGCATTGTAGCTCCCTTGCTGGACAATGGCTGGTGATGTGTGTTCAGCACCCACCCGGGCGTTGGTTACCTCCCTTGTCATTGTCTCTGGAGAGCTAGTATCTGGATGCTTCCCAAACCCACAACATATTTTAGTGAAAACCTTACAAGATAATTCTTACAATTTTATATGCATTAATGATACACGCATTTCAGCTGATCATAGCCTTTCCCATGATACCTCACATGGCCTGCTTTATATGAAATATCACAATTATATACAAATGATGAATATGAGGGTTACAGGGTACGCCCCTGAGATATAGAAGTGTCACACCCATCACGTCCCTGCCTTGGGCCAACCACTGGTATTGCCTCGCTCCAGCCCAGACTGGCGACTGGACACGCTGGCAAGGTGCAGGCTGTTCCCTTTGGGGGCCTGTCTGGCCACATCCCCACTGCCCGCCCTCTGCATGGCACCTCAGCCATCCAGGAGGATGCCCGTCGCCCTTCCCTGTCGTCCCAAGGCAGCCTGGGCACCACGCTGCATTCCTGGGGGAGCAGGGCTCTCTAGCTAACTGAGCCATTCCTGTTCTGATTGCAGAGGAAGGCTTTGCCCTCCACCCCAGCCTGGAGCACATCACGGTGCCTGAGCCCTTCGATTTCTGCCTGGGCCCGGACTACGCCTCCTACAGCTGCCTGAACCAGAGGGACATGCTGCCCGCCGCCTGCTCTCCCATAGAGCTGCCAGGCTGCCTTGGCCCAGAGTTCCTCTTGGACACCTACAGCCCCGTGCAGAGCAACCCTGCCCCATTCCTGGCACCTGGGGACAGCTCTGCGGGGGACATTGAGGGTACGGCCAGTCTGGTTGGAAGTAACATGTTTCCCAGTCAGTACAAGGAGGCCTACGAGCGGGCATAGCTGTACACGAGGTTGGGAGACGTGTGAGGAGCAGTCGAGCCTCGTTTCAGACCTGCCCCGGCAGGGAGCCCCTTGTTCTGGCCGGGCAGGGCCTGGAGATGGGAGGACTGGGCCACTTGGCTTGTTGGCAGAGCTTCCCAGGCCTCTTGGCAGCGAGCACAGAAGAGACTGCTTGTCACTGCAGGGCCTACCTCCAGGAGACCAGCTGAGACCAAGGGGCGTGGAGAGAGAATGACAGCACGGCCCTCCCCTAAGACTGCGGGCCGTGAGGAGTGTGGCTGCCTGCGAATGTTCCACCTGGAACTGGAGGGGTTCCACATCCCAGCCTGTCCAATTCCACCTCCTAGCAGCCTCCTCGCTGTCAGCATAGTCACTCTGCAGTTCCCCTTGCTGAACTCCCTCCATGGGCTGAGGGACTGGCTCGCTGGAGCAGGGCCTGGCCAGAGGGGCTCTGCAGGGGCATTGTGCCCAGGGTTTGACTGCAAGGGCTGCTGCAGGGGTTCACGCTTTGCACTATATTTATAGGGGTTAGTCGTAGGCACCACTTCCCTGCCATAAATGAGACCACCTCAGAGCAAATGGGGGGCAAACAGTCACTGTCTGGCCCCCAAATCCTGGCCGATCAGGGCTGAAGAAATGTAAGGTCTGCTCCTGTTGTAACCAATGGCCAGGCTCCCCTGGCCAGAGCCAGGACAGCTGGGCCATTGGCCTTGCTATTGATAAGGGGATGGTTCCAAGATCTTCCTGAAGGCCATGTCTTGTGGAGGCTGGATACCCCCTCCGCAGCAGTCCCTGCACCTGCTGATCTGAGGAGGGTGGGACTAGAGCCCAGCCTCACACCTGGCGGTGCTGAGATGCCAGCTGGAACAGAGCCGCTGGGGAACTGGGCGCCAGGACTCCTGGGGCCTCTCCCCAGCTCCACTGACTCACTCTGTGGCCCTGGGTAGGTCATTCACCTCTCTGTGCCTGTTTCCCAAGTTGTAAAATGAGGGTGACGCTGCTCACCCACCACCCAGGTGCGTTGTGATGGATGGTAATAAAAACAATACAAATACTTCTCTGCTGTCTCATCCTGAACCACTTTACAAGCCCATATACTACCTCTAGCCGGGGCGGGGGCTGGGGGGCACGTCACTATCGCTACAGTGCGCCCAGCTCTAGGGTGCAATTCAGCAGACATCTCATAGCAACAGCATGCCGCAACTGAGGGCAGGACGCGAGATAACTGTGGGGTGGGGAGATGTGGGGAGATATTGGGAGACTGAACAGAATTACCCAGGCTCTGGGCATTAATATTACTCATCTTACACGTTCTCCACCCAAGCAGCACTGGTACAATACTAACACAGAGGGCAGAGTGCCCCCCATATAGCAATAAGGCCTGAGGCCGCTCAGCCTGTGAATGCTGAGACGCTGGCAGCACCAGGTGCTAAGGCAGCAGGTTAAGTGCCCGGAGACCCTATTGTAGCCCGGGCTAACACTGGCTCTGTCCCCCCTACCCCCCCCCATAGCAGCTAGCTCACATATAGAGATTTGTGCTGCTGCTGCCTGGGTGCTCACAGAGCAGCTCCTATCAGAGCACTTCCTGCAGGCTGCTAAGTTGCATCATTGCCAGCTGGGTGCATCATTCTGCTTGACATTAGCTGAGTGTCCTACTGTTAACCCTAAGTTAACTCTAGGTGGCTGTACCCAGTCAGAGCCATTAGAGGGCCTGCTCCCCATGTCCTGGGGAAACCCGTGCCCACAGCTACCCTCTGGGACGCCTGCAGGGAGCCTGTGACCACCCACACTTCTCAATGGCTCTCTGGCTGTTGCCTCTCTGCTCAGGAGGTGTCTAGGGGCCCCATGGCCTCTCCAGCTGCCATCCCATCACCCCCTTCTTGGGGTGCTGTTTATTCTTGCTGCCTCGACTTCCTCCCCAATCCCTCCTGGTCCTGTGCAGCCTGGAGGTCTTTTGTGTCTTTGTCCATATGGATCTCACTGATGGTGCACATGTCTCAGCTTTGACCAGCGTCTAATGGGGCAGCGCTGGCCCCCTGCATCCACTCCTACCCTCCACCCACGGGCAGAGTGGCTCTGCCCACCTCTCACTTCCCTTTCCGGCTGTGGCAGTGAGATGTAGCACCAGGGTGCCCTTTCACCCAAGTGGCTGGTAGGTCTCAGTAGTGGCTAACGCTCTGCCTGCTGGAGCAGTCCATCCTCTGGCTCGGTCTCTAGGGCCACTCCATGATCCCATGGTATCTGGATACTTGCTACCAGAGAAGGGTGGGTTGTGGGCTTCCCACTGACAAAGCATCTAGAACCACAGTTACTGTACCGTAAGTACTTGCTCTTTACTGGAGTCCCTGTCCATGTGGAGCCCACTCCAGTGACTAGCTAGTAGCTCCCAGACGAACCGGAGGAAGGTGTGAGAAGTCCTGGCTAGAGCTGACTAAATAAGGATTGCAGAGCTGCTCTCCCAAATCTGGCATCACAACTAGTAATCAACCCCCGGTGTAATGCGCGATGAAGGTGTGGGCTGTGCTCCATCGGGCTGCCCTCGAGATCTCTGAGAGGTATACGTCTGAGAAGGTTGCCTAGTTGAGAGGGCCGTGCAGCCTGAGGCCAGGGGCACCTCTGGTAGCTGGTTACAGATTGCAACCGATGGAGCGAGCTCTGAGAAAAATTAATGAAGATATCCCATCTCCTAGAACTGGAAGGGACCTTGAAAGGTCATCGAGTCCAGCCCCCTGCCTTCACTAGCAGGACCAAGTACTGATTTTGCCCCAGATCCCTAAGTGGCCCCCTCAAGGATTGACCTCACAACCCTGGGTTTAGCAGGCTAATGCTCAAACTACTGAGCTATCCCTCCCCAAGAGGGAGAAGAGACGGCGGGATTAACCCACCGCCGGGCCCTAGACAAACGCACACTTCTGGGCCCCTGCTTTCTAATATGAACACCAACAAACAGCCCTACAGGACACTCTGCAGCCAAACTCGCCCTGCTACGTATCTGCCGGGCCCAGTTGCTCATCTCGCTGCTCTGGGCGCTGCTCACCAGGATGGAGGCGTAGCCTGGCCAAACCTGAGTGGTGCTACAACCCCGTCGGCCAGGTCACAATGCCACTCAGGTTTGGCCCAGCCACCCCTCTGTCATGGTGAGCCTCGCCCCCAGAAGCAGCAGGATGAGCAGCTGGTCCCAATGGATCCACAGCAAGGCCAGACTGGCCATGGGCAGCATCCTGTACAGCTGTTTGTTGGGCCATCCCCTCCACAGCCCCTACCTGCCTGAGTCCCAGGCACACGTCTAGTTTGTCTATGTGTTAATCCGGCCCTGAGAAGAGATGGCCTGACCTTCCGCAATGCTAACAAATAAACAGGGTGATTTCCTGAATGGCTCCATGCTGCCTAGAGCCCTCCCTGATTCCTTGAAACCAGGAGCTTGGATTCTCCCAGGTTCAAGTGCAGCTTGGGGAAGAAAACGGTAAGGTTGATGGTTTGGTTTAAATGAAAAATCAGACACCACCTAGATGAGGTGCTTACAGTGGGGCCTCAGCCCCATCTTCTCCCTGTGGATGACAATATAATGGAGCTGCTATTAGTACTTGGCTCTCGCAAAGCTTCCTAGCTGGGGTGACAGCCACCAGGAAGAGTGAGATGGTGGCGATGGTACCCAGATAAGGGTCAAAGGGGGTTCCTACCAGGTTCCTACAAGAACAACATTAAGGGTCCAGGAAAGAGGGGCTCACAGACCAGGGTTAGGTGCGGACCAGTCCTTTTAGAATGAAACAACCGGACAGGAGAATACCACACAGATTCGCACTGGAGCATGGCTAATGGTGAGGCTCAATAGCTTGAGGTGAAGGATGTAGTCCAAAATCTTGGCATCTAATGGGCTGACACTGTATTGTAAAGGAAGCCCAGATAGAAAATCTTTCCCACTACATGATCAATCTATGGGTCAGAGTGCTTCCTCCTCTCTATAAGGATTTTTTGGTCTTCTCTAAAGCACACCCTGGCTGTAGTGCACAACCAGCCAATTTTCAAGCCATGAGATGTAAAGAGGCTGGATTTGGAAGGAGAATTTGCCTCTGCTCTGAGAGAATACGTCTGGCAGACTGGAGCCTTGCGGACAGTGCAGTAGGTCTGTGAGGCAACACTGATGCTACAAGTATTACTGTGGTCACATCCTACTTGATCTTTTTTATGACCCCAGAGATCAGGGAAACGGGAGGAAAGGCATAAAGAAGGCCTTGAGACCAGGATATGGGGGAAGCATTTGGGAGGGATCCTGGGCTGGTAACTGCTCTGGAGCAGAAGAGAGGACATTTGCTGTTCTTGTTAGTGGCAAACAGGTCTACCACGGGGAAGCCCCCTCTGTGGAACACAGGCTTGAAAACAGAGACCACCGGTGGCTGGCGGAGTACTGTCATTCAGGTAATCCACCAGACTGTTATTTGCTCCTGGTTGCTGAAGGGCTATGCAAGTTTCCACAATTTGATTCCCTCCTCACAGAGCCCCCCTGCCTGTTGATATAATACATTGCAGCGGTGGTATCTGTCAGGATCTGTACTGTGGTCCCTTCCAGCACAGTATTTCTTGTGGTCTCAAGTGGGCTGATGCTACTGCCAGGCATTTTGTGAATACTCCTGGGGTATAAACAGGCTCGACAGTCGTATCCAGTATCACTAGCTGTTGTGACCCACTGGAAACTGGAGATATTTTCTGTGGGCTGAATGAATCACTGTGTGAAACAAGCATCCTGAAGGCTGAGGTGGTAGAGACTCTCTGTCCTCTATGCCCTAGTGTGGGGGACACATGGACATGCAGGGCCCAGGCATGGACCCAATGGACACTACTGGTCAAAAGATTCCAACCTCATGCACGCAAGATGCATGTGCACCATAATGGATCCAGCTGGACCAAATATCTAGAAGAACCCCACTTCCTGCAAAGGACAATAGAACCTTGATTTTACAAACACCAGCCTTGGGAATGACCAGTTTCATGAACCCCTTTTCCTGGCCAGGAAAAAAAATCCTCACATAACAAAAGTGATGTCGATGAAGACTAAGTCAACATCCCGTCACATTCTGATGCCTTCAGTGCACTGGAAATTGCTCTGCAGTGGCATGAAGGACTGGAAGAAAGCAATGTAGTGCCCTACATCACAGATCCACAGGGTCTGGTCTAAGCCCCAACCTGTAATCAGTCCCGTGGAGTGACCCTTTTAGTGTGCTGGGCCCCCACTCACTTCCACAGGGGTAGGCCCGTGGACTCCATAACTGAAACTGGGCCTTTGGGTACCAGCGATCCCTGTGGTTCCCAGCTGCAAGTCCAGACTCTTGTGGGAGGCTTGTACGGTGCCCCTTCAGGACGCAATGCTCCCTGTAAGCATTTACAATGACACTAGGCAACCTTTTCAAAAGAAGGTAATCTATTAGTCAACTGGCCTACAGAATCTGACAGTCCTTAGAGGAAGCAAAGGTCAGGACAGAGTTCAGCCTGGCCAACATCAGGGCTCTACCCCAACAAGCTCCTGTAAGATCCATTTTGGCCCTGTCTCTGTCCCTTTGTGTTTGGTTCCACGTGTGTGTGTGTGCTGTAGGTATCTGTGAGCTCAGCTTTTAACATGGCCACCAACCACTTTTCCCCTTTGTTCTCCTGCTCAGAGCCCTTGCTTGGCTTCCCTGCAGAGAGGTGGGGGGAAATCTCCTTCCCCTTGCCAGTTGGACACTCGCTAGGTGGAAATGTCTTGGTCATTGGGGTTTCCATTGTCTCTTTGGCTCTTTCATTCACACATGTAGACTTTATTCCGTTTATTATTGACTCTGGTTTCCAACCAGGCTGCTGAATCAACACCTCATCCCTTCTCTTTAGACTCAGTGCAAGGCAGTGTAAAGCCCAAGGGGAAACTGAGACGCACATAGGTATCATAAAAATATTACCCAAATTCCCACATTTGTCACACCACACTCATGCACCAGACCGACTCTTTTTGAGATGTTCAATTTTAGGAACTTCTCAATCCTCGATTAGTTTATAAGAACGGCCAAACTGAGTCAGACCAAAGGT